GGGAGGGGTTTATTTGGCCTACCGATCATAGAGGTTTCAGTCCATAATCGGCTGGCTCTGAAGGCTGGGATGGCAAACAGGCCTTGCAGAACAGAAACAGCTCGGTGCACACAAGGTAGCAAAGGCAACAAAAGAGTTAACAGCATCTCCCAGCCCTTTATTTTATTCAGACTACTTAGGGTGGACAGCACTCACACCCTTAATCCTAGTGCCCAGAGCCTAGAATTGCAACATGAATCACTTGCAGCTTCACACACCCTAGATCAAGCCTATGACCACATGAGGCTTTGGGGGGACATCTAGACCCAAACCATAACATTCCACCCCTGCCCCCCAAAGACTCATGTGCATTCTTTTTTTTTAAATATGCATTCTTTTATATAAAAGGCATTTAGTCATCTCTAAGAGTTACCAAAATCCTAGCAGTTTCAGCATTGCTGAAAAGTCCAAGTCCAAAGTCTCCTCCGATATTTAAGGCAAACTCATAACTGCAGGCCCCTGTACAAATGAAAAGAAAGTCAAACACTTCCAATATTCAGTGGCACAAGATAGATATTACCGTTCCAAAAGGTACAATCAGGAGGATACAAAGGAAAGGTTCTAAAGTAAGTCCAAAATCCAGTAGGGGAAACATTAAATCTCACAGTTCCATTCCCAGCATCCCCAGCAATCTGTGGCAAGTAGTGAATTCCAAAGGGCTTGGGTGGCTCTGGCCCTATGGCATTTCTGGAGGTTATAGCTCCCATGGCTTTTCTCTTGGGCTGGCTCTGCTCCCTCCTTGCAGCTTTCCTCAGATGGTCCATGCTCCTGGCTTCTCCAAACTTCTGGGGTCTCCTATGCAGCTTTGGCTTCACAATAGCTTCATACACTGCCCTTTCATGGCCACCCTGCCTGGCCTCCCAGGCCTTATTCTGAGATCTTGGTGGAAGCCTTCCTCACCCCTACATGTGCTTAAAACCAGTGCCACATGGATGATGCCAAGGTCTGCTGCCAGCTGGAGCAGTAGTAGTTTTCTCTCTCAGCTGTGGGGGTTCCTGGATTGCTAAGCACTTTGAACCCAACCTTGAGGAAAAAATTCTTTAGGCTGCTGCCATTTGGAACAGCTTTCGTAGGCCACCATTTTGGAACAACTTCCCTAGGCTGCTGCCATTCTGGAACATGTTGTTGCTGTTGCTATTTTGGAACCTGGTGCTCTGAATTTCTTGTGTTTTTGAAGAAAGTTTTGGAAACTAAGTAAAAAATGACTCCCAGTATTCATTACCACTTTTTTGCGTGTATTGAAGGAGGGTGCCCTGGAAGAAGAGTAGAACCCAGAAGGAAGACTTTTGGTGGGTGTTTCTGAGAGAGGCTCATGTTGTGTGTATTTGTTGGATCACCTGACCGACACTTGTCTGAAAGCCACTCTGTCACTGCTCTGTGCTGCCCCACTTATTGCTGGTTTCTTGGGGGGCAGGAGTCTAAGCATAGCCACACCAAGCTCAGGGAATCACAGAGCTGCAGGAGGGGTGTGGGCTCCACCAGCTGCTTTCTTGTTAGAAGACTCCACTGCCAGGAGTGTTTGGTCCTCCAGGACCCAGCTCGCTACAGAGTGGAAAGCAGCTTGCTTCAGACTTGCAGGACAGGACTTGGCTTTTCACCTGCGCCCCTTTGTCACCTGCGAGTCCTGCTGCTGAGAAGCATCAGAGGTCACTTCCAGAGTTGCTCTGTCGGGAGGGGTGCAGCTGTCCACTTTAGCATTTGTCAGAACTTCTTTTCCGAGTGGGCATGGGGTGCACATCTGTAATCCCAGCACTCGGAGACTGAGGCTGGCATTGCAAGTTCTAGGCCAACCTGAGCAACCTGATGATTTAGCAAGATGTTGTCTCAAAAAGAAAAAAATACAGACACACACACACACGCACAGGAAGAGGACTTGGGGATGTAGCTCAGTGCAAAGGCCTTGAGTTCAATCCCTAGTTCACCAAAAAATAAAAAAATTACTTAAAAAGGCCTGAGCGTGGCAGCACACTCCTGTGATCCCAGAGCCTGGGAGGCTGAGGTACGAAGATCTGTGTTTGTGAGTTCGAGGCCAGCCCTGAACTGCATAGTCAGCTCCTGTTTCAACAAAACAAAAACAAAAACACCCCAGCCTGGGCTGTGGCCCCGGAGTTGGATTCCTGTACTGCGCACACCCTGTTCTCCAGCGCTCTTACTGGCCGTGTGCTCGGGCGGCATGGTGAGGCCCTCTTCTGTGTGCTGCACTGCAGTCTTCTGAAGGGAACCCCATTTGCTGCCCTCCCTGTCTCTGTCTCCAGGGCTACAGAACTGGCTACCCCTACCGATACCCTGCTCTGAGAGAGAGGTCTAAAAAGTACAGCGATGTGGAGGCCCCTGCCAATGTCACGGGTTGCTCCTTTGCCAGTGACGGCGACTCAGGCACCTGCTCCCCTCTCAGACACAGTCTGCAGAAGCAGCATCGGGAGAAGACAAGGTGGCTGAACTCTGGCCGGGCCGACGAAGCTTCCGAGGAAGGGCAGAACGGAAGCAGCCCCAAGTCGAAGACTAAGGTGTGGACGAACATTACACACGATCACGTGAAACCCTTGCTGCAGTCTCTCTCGTCCGGTGTCTGCGTGCCAAGCTGTATTACCAACTGCTTGGTCTGTGCCTACTTACTGTTCATAGTTAGATGACGTAGAGCAAGTCGGGCAGCTGGGGCTCCGGAGGCTTTGGGACCCAGCCTGCCGGCTGGATCTGCCAGCCTCTGCTCATTAACTCGCTTTTCTCTGAGCCCAAGTCCACTTCCGGCCTTTGCCAAAATCTCAGTAATGCTGTCCACATGAAACTGCTTAAGATGTAAGACCCCTGCTCCCTCCCCACAGCCTGTCTACGCGCTGCAGCTCACAAACTCACACCCCTTAGCCCAAAATCAGAGCGCTCAGTGCTGCGTCTGTCTGCGCACTCCTGGTGTTTCACGATCGCGCAGTGTCACCAGCCCCAGGGACTTCGCTCTTTTGTTTTGCTGCTAATGTTGTCTTAAGCAGTTTTCCCTCTCCATGCCCCAGCCCACTCTCCCAGCCCTGTCTTCTCCCTATTTTGCTCTTGCCCCTGTCCCAAAGCCTCCGAATGCTCACGCCAGCTGCCCTCTGCATGGACTGTTGCATGTGAGTAGACGGCGTGGAGGCGAGTCTTTGGCTCCCCTGGGTGCGGCATGACGCAAGTGTGGCGGAGGCCATCTGCAGGCACCAGCACGATGCTGCCGGCCGCCAGTGCCTGCGCCACAGGGCTCAGTGGCCCTCACAGGACAGGTCTACAGTCTCACAGCCCAGTGTTCTCGAGCAGTGGCCAAGCAGACAGCAAATGTTCCCCTTGTAACGTGCCTTTATTTTATAGACTTAGAAAAGCAAAAGGTTTGTCTGTCTGGTGGCTCTGGTGCTTCCTGGTGCGCAGTGGTGAGAAGCCCTTGTGCCCCTGTGCAGCTCACGTGGGCATGCGTGGGACCCTGTGTGCTGAGGCTGAGTGAGGGGTGTGGCTCTGTTCTGCCTCCCTCCCTCCCTCCCTGTTTTCACGTTTGATCTGCTGAGAAGAGCAGACAAACCTGTGCGGGGCTGCCAGCACTCTGCACCTTGCCTGACACGCCCTTCTGGGCACTGCAGTGCAGCGCTGAGCTCCGTGACTTAGCCTGGCTGAGACCCCACCACTCTAGGTGTGCGGTCTGTGTGTGCCCCGAGGGGGCTTTGTTCAGCATCTCTATCTGTCTCTCACTGTTCTGGAGTAACTCAGGTTCCTGTGCAGTGTTCCCAGGTTGGTATATTTTAATTTCTACAATGCTTGTTAATTTTGTAAATGTATCCCTCCTTCTGAGGTGGCTGTTCTCATGTTTGACTAAGAGTTGTTTGTTCTGAGAAGATGGCTGTCAGTGAGTACCTGCAGCTCCATGCCCATTCCACACTCCCCACGGTGGCTCAGCATCTGACAGTTGTGTTGCTTCCTTGAAAGTCACATGATTGATGATTGCTGCCTCTTGGAGGGCTTCTGAAAGGTGGAGAACCTTTGCTCTCTACGACGGCTTGTTTTAATTTTCAGTGCCTATTCATGCCAAAAGATAAGAATTTGACTAAAAAATCTCAAATTCAATTGGAGACCCCAAAACATCTTTCTGTGTGGAAGGCTCACTGTGCTGAAGATATGCACTGATTCGTAAAACAGCCTTTCAGGCCTCATGAAGTGCTTCGGGGAAGAGGGGGCCGGGGTATTTCATAACACTGAAAGCATTACATTATATAAAGTATTGGACATCACCAAACTCTTCGGCCAGCTGGCTATTGTATGGGTGCGAATGCAGGAAGTTTTTTGGGTCAAAGCAATACACAAGCCGTGCATCCCGATGCTCTCGTTTATTTTAATGTGAAACTTTGGTGATGCCACTCCTGCCCCACAGTCCCGACCTCCCTGCCCGGGCAGTAGCATCACATTGCTTCTTGTGATCCTGTCATCTCACGCTTCCAGTTGGCTTTGCTGTTGGGTGCCTCTCAGGGCGGTGAACCAATGGTCTCTGAGGGCCCCGGGCTGGCCTAAGGGTGACAGGGCTAGGCTCTGTTGTTGCCCGCATTGTGCCCTAGATTTCCACTGGGCTGTTGAGATGTCGAGATGGCCCTTTCCTATCAGCCATGACTCTGGTCACATGACTCTGCCATTCACTGGTCTTCACGTGGCCACATCACACTCCCATGGTGATTCTGCTGGGTGACCGAGGACATGTGGTCATTGGTTCAGTCCTCTCTGTGATGTTCTGTGCATGACCAGATGTGAGGTCGGTTGGACAAAGTGGATGCTGTGGTGTTGCTTATTGTTGTTGTAACCCTGACTTTTCAACTGTTCTTGAAATTACAGTGGACTAAGGAGGATGGACATAGAACTTCCACCTCTGCTGTCCCTAACCTGTTTGTTCCATTGAACACTAACCCAAAGGAGGTCCAGGAGATGAGGAACAAGGTGCGTCCTGCTGTCCGCGTGGTAGGGGCTGGGGTGTGGGCTGGGAGGGGTTGCTGGCTGCTGTGGGTTCAGACTTGCTGGCTTCTAGCGGAGGAAGCAATGGCTTCACACTGCTGCTGCTGTCCCGCCAGTGGGCAGAGTTGTCAGTGCAGACACTTGGGCTCCTGACCTGGTACTCGCCCAGTAGCAGGTCTGATCCTAGAGAGCAGAAAGCTGCTGCCCTGCTTTCAGGGTTCATTTCGCTTTGTGAAAGGACCTCAAGTGTTGGATGTGTCAGGACATGAGCTCCAAGAGCGTTCATGGTGTCCCTGAAGGTGGGCATGTATCAAGTATTTCCCCCTGAGTTAATATGGCCAGGGACTTGTGCCCTGCCAGACTCCACCACAGAGCAGGATGGCCAGCACCATCAGGCAGGCCACCCTGCCACCCTGGGCTAGGCCCAGGGACACAGCAGTGTGACTGCTGTCATGTGACTTCTCTGTACTGTTGATGTGCGTGTCTCCTCTTTTCTCCCACAGATCCGAGAGCAGAACCTGCAGGACATTAAGACGGCCGGCCCTCAGTCCCAGGTTTTGTGTGGTGTAGTGATGGACAGGAGCCTCGTCCAGGTGAGTGCTCACAAAGTCTGTGGCATTAGTGGGTGGTGACTGTAACACTCTGCTCCAAAGTGGTTTTTCACTTGGGTGAGTGTGACTTTATGAGGTGAGTATCCTAGGCAACTGGTTACCTTTGTTAAAAACCTTCCTCACAGCTCAGCCACATCCCTGGAGTCCTATAGGAGCAGAGCATGCAGCAGGCTGCACCCATCCCCAGCCCTGCTCCCGGTGGTGCATGCATCCCTAAGGGCACACACGCTGCCAGCTTGGGGCGGGCGCGCAGTGTCGCCAGGGTTCTGTGGAAGCGCTAGGAGGGTTTGGTGGACCACCACCCTCATGTCTGGGACCAAGGCTGCTCGGGTGGGTGGGCGGGCGGGCGCCTGTCAGTGCGGCCACGTTCATGCGTGTTTCTGTAAAGGCCTCCAAGTGGCGCAGGGCAGATAATGTGTGAGTATTTATCTCTGAGCCTCATGCGCCACTGTGCTTTCCAGCCTGATGCTGCAGGGTTTTCTCAGTCTGGCCAGCTGTGGGCCTACTTTTGTGCACGCCCCGCTGTCATTGTGCCCCGTTCACACTGACGATGCCCTCGCTGCATGCTCTTAGCTGGCTTCGTCCTGTGTTCTCCGTTGGTATTCCCAAGGCTGGGCCTGGTGTGTTCTGGTGACTCAGTTTACTGTTGCAGGATGCGCCCCTCTCTGACTGTACGGAAACTATCGAAGGGCTCGAGCGTACAGAGCAGACCTTTAGTCCTGCTAAATCTGTCTCTTTTAGAAAGGTACTCACTGCCCTATCCTTACCTCCTGTCAGTACTCGGCGCTCTCCTCTCTTGTCCCCCACCTGCCCCTCTCTCAGGTGCTGACTGAGCTTCTCGAGCACCTCGCAGGGGCTCTGAGTCATCTGCGAGGGTGTCCAGAGAGGCCAGTCTGCCCGCTCGCTGTTCTTGTTAATTAAAATGCTCTGGATGAGGTATTTTTAGTTGTCAGCGTTTGAAGTATGCTGAGAAGTGCCCTATCTGCACACTGTGGTGCGCTTCCCAGGTCCTGTGTGTGGCTGGCTAGTGTGAGCCCTTGGCTGCAGTTTGCTCTGAGAGAGGCCGAGGGCAGGTGGGCGCCTCTGGGCTCCTGCGTGACGTCTCCCTCGCTCAGTCATTGAAAGATGTCATTTCAGAGGAATGGGAAATAAAACAAGACAGTGTTTGTCACCCTCCGTTGATAAAATGTATTTATTTAAAAAAGACTTGAGCTGAAAAAGGTGGTGCACACCTGTATTCCCAGCTACTCTGAAGGCTGAGGCAGGAGGAACATAAGTTGGAGGCTATCCTGGGAAACTTAGGCCCTGTCTAAAACCAAAACATAAAAAGGGACTCGGGGCAGCTCAGTGGTGGAGCATGTGCCTAGCACACACAGGCCCTGGAGTCTGTCTCCAGTACAAGTGGAAGGGCCCACAGGTGATTTTCTTTGAGGTTGTAGGGGGAGACTTAGGAACCTTTCAAAGCCCAGGTCGTCTGTGTGACCACCCAGGTGAGGCCAGGTGTGCAGGACTTGGTGCTTATGACTGCGTGGTGTAGAGTTGTCGGTGTGTGCCGTGTGTCCAGGGGACACTCCAGGGTGTTCCATTCTGAACACCTCAGTTGAGATCTGAAGCCATTCCTGTGGTGGGATCACTAGTTAGGAGCAGGTCTGTGCCAGGAGTCTGTTCCTGCTCAGAACAGTAATTTATGTGTTTATGTATTAATTTGATGGGTCTCTTTTCTCCTGGCCCTTAGAATTTTCTTCCCACTGCCATTTTTGGAGCAGTTTCTCTGAAAAGGCATGAATGTGTACACACGTTAGTGTTGGTGCCTTGGTTCATAAGCTGCTTTGGTTTTCCTGGTCACTGTCACCTTGGGCTTGTGCTGTGTGTGTCACAGGGCACCCTTCAGCACTGCAGTGCACTCAGTGGCTCTTGTCTGTGGCCGTGTGGACGGTGGTGGACTAGCTGGTCACAGGAACCAGTTACAGCTTGGTTTGCTCTGGCCCAGAGGTGTTCCCACACGGGTGTGTCAGTCCCCTGGATGTTCCATGAGTAGACTCAGGGTCCCCACAATCTGTGCCCATGTTTTCTGTGCATGTCCCTGGCAGAGCATGTGCCATGCTGGCCCCAGGTGAAGAGATGTGATGTCCTGTACCTAATTATTTCATTTGCGGTGCTGGGGGTGAAACCCCAGACTGGTGCGTGCTAGCCAGTGCTCTCCTAACTCCCGTCCCTAGCTTGTATATAAATCTAATGCTAGCTTTTGTGCTCCTTATCTGTTTCTGAGCTCCCATTTGCATTTTAATCTGTTTTGTGTTCAACATACTTCATTTTTATAGTGATAATGTGCTTTGATTTCATAGATGGCCCTTACTAGGGCTGTATTTTGTCACTTACTGCCCTTCCTGTTGGGTGAGTCTTGCTCCTTGTGGAACATGGCACTGCTCTCTGGCAGCCTGGGTTTCCCCTTGAGACAGGGAGGGTACTGTGCCCCTCCCAGTGAGGTGGATGTGCAGGTTCCTGCTTCTGCCTGAGCGCCTGGTACGGCTGGGCTGTGTGGAGGGATCTTCTCTGGCCTCACTGCGTGCAGGGTGACCTTCCCATAGAAAGGGCAGAGGGAACGGTGTGCCCAGGAGAAAGCTCTCTTCACCTGGGTTCTCACAGAGCCTGACACCAGCCCTGAGAGAACTGTGGCTGCCACTGGCTCTTATTGAGTGTGGATGGCATGGTCAGAAGGAGGGTGCTGGCGTCCGATGTGCCCATCACTGACTGTACCTATCATGCTGTGTGGGAGAAGTGCAGTGAGGCAGTGACCTGGCTCTCAGGCTTTCTGACCTGTTGAGGAGCACCCGGGTGTGTGGCCCTAAGACCAGGATTATCATTCAGATGCGAGTCAGCCTCCTCAGAAGGGTGGCTGCGGCTGCTGTTGCTGCTCCTACTCCTCCTGCTCCTCCTTCCTCCTCCTCTTCCTCCCCCTCCCCCCTCCTGACTGAACCTTTGCACTGAGCTGCATCTTCAGCCTTTTTTTAAATTTTCATTTTGAGACAAGGCCTTGGTAAGTTACCACCCACACTGCCTCAGTCAAGTATAGAAGTACATATTGGCCATCTGTGCTTCGTGAAGTCTGTGAGAGCTGACCAAGAGGGAAGGCACCATCCAGAGCCTCCCCTGCTGGAGGGACCGGCCATCCTCCATCCTGATTTCCCAGCTGGAGCCCTGCATTGCAGGCCTGCCCCTCCCCTCCCTCTGGTCCACATTTGCTCACAGCAGGCCCAATGCCAGCTTGGCCCTTGCCGAGGTGTCTGGTTGGGGAGCTGTCTACCAGCAGAGGGGCCTGGCGTACGGCTTGTTGAGCTGTCCCGTCATGAACGTTCCCCTTGTCCGCTGGAATATCAAGATGTTAATGAACCCAGCTGTGGTAGGCATGCCTGCGCTCCCACTACTTGGGAGAATCAAGGGCAATTTAGCAAATAAGACCTTGTCTCAAAGTTTTTAAAGGGCTGGGTGTAGCTTAGTGGTGGAGACCTGCCCAGCCTGTGCGTGGCTTGGGTTCCATCCCTAGCACTACAAAACACAAATCAACACAAAACAAACTTTGAATAAGGACTCTGATGGCTCAGTGACAGGAGATTCGTGATATTTCACTCCTTTACCTAATTTTGGATTTAAATGGACTAAATTTGACGTAATTGAGTTTAAGCCTCTCAAGCCTCCCATCACCTTGTCAGTGACAGGAGGACACAGGTCCATTCACAGAATGCCATCGCCTACAGGGATCTAGGCATTTGGGAGCCCTGTAGATGCTTCTTGCTAGTTGTAAACCCAGGTGCCACTGGACAGGGATTCATATTGCTGTTTGGGTGGAGCTGCCTGTAAATGAGAGGTGAGTTAGAGAGTGGCTCCCTGCCAGAAGTCCCCAGGCCTTCAGCTGTCCACAGGCCCTTCCTTCTGGGGCAGTTGGGTTGCTGGCCAGATGTGGTGCTCCCAGACCCCTGCCCATTGTTCTGCGAGCAGTGGGGTCCTCCCTCCCCAAGACTAGCACCGGCTCCAGCCCAGCATCTGAGTTGTCTGGGGCATGCTTATTAAGTCACCGGTGAGTGTGTGAGGCCACTTTCTTCCCCCAGCCCAGGAGGCTGAGCTGTGGGCAAGAGCTGCCCCGGGACAGGGAACGGCTGCCTCTGTGCCCGCCTGGTGGTGCCTGCTGCAGCTCCTTATGCCCCTTTGGTTGTAGCCTAGGAACCCCTTTGGTGCGTTACTTTGCTTGCTTGCTTTTTTTGTCTTTCTTTCTTTTATACAGATTCTGACAGCTTTCTAAATCCTCATGCAGACCTTGGTGGTTTGGGGCATCTTGTTATTCCAGGATGTTCTGGGATAGGTTCAGGAGCTGGTTGTCACTTTGGACAGGCAGAACTCACTGAACTCACTGCCTGAGAGCCTGGCGCTGTCTGATGTCATAGAGGCAGGAAAGGGGCCAGAGGGCTCTTCTGGTGTTGGCAGGCAGCTGGTGGTCTATCTGCGCCTTGTACCTGTGCTGTTTGTGATTTTGTTTTGTTGGTTTTTTTTGTCTTTTTCTTTGTTTTTGGTAGGTACTGGGGATTGAACTCAGGACCTTGTGCTTTCAAGGCAAGCGGCAGTACCCCTGAGCTAAATCCCCAGCCTTGTTTGTGCTTTTAGACATGAGGGACTTCGGTAGAGTTTCTTCTCCTGTTATGTTTGTTGTGACAGTGAACTGTTGTCTTCTCCCACTGAAGGCTGTAGCTCAGCCTGGGGCCCCGCCGGTATAGTCTTGGGGTGTCTGTCTGCTCCTGAAAAGCCTTCCCTGCCTGCAGCCTGCCTGGGAGGAGGGAGAGTCCCTGCTGCCAGGCCAGGCTGCTGCAGACGACGCTTCCGTGTCGTCCACAGGGGGAGCTGGTGACTGCTTCTAAGGCCATTATCGAGAAGGAGTACCAGCCCCATGTCATCGTGAGCACTGCGGGCCCCAACCCCTTCAACACGCTCACCGACCGCGAGCTGGAGGAGTACCGCAGGGAGGTGGAGCGCAAGCAGAAGGGCTCGGAAGGTGAGCACCTGGCCTGCGCCTCTGCACAGGCCCCTGAGGAGGAGAGCGGGAGCAGGTGCCCGGGAGCAAGTCTGCGCAGAATGCCATGTGCAGGGAGGCCTTCTGCTGGTTAGAGCTGCCCAGGACTCCGTCTGCACGTCCAGCCTGGTCATGGGGCTGGGCTGGCGGAAGGAGTTGTGGCTGCTTGCACTTGGGAAGGGTGCTGGCCGGCAAGACTGCATCTGGGAGCTGGAGCTAGGGAGTGTCCAGGGGGGCCTTCTGAGCGCGGTGGGTGCCATCAGAAACAGTGGGGGCTTCCCACAGTGGGTGAGGCTTATGCTCTGCCCAGAGTTCTGGGTGCCCACCACTCGGGTAGGGCACAGGCGCTGGTCCTTCTGATCGACTTCTGTGCACATGGAGTGATGGGAACAGGCAAGGAGAATTTGCTGCTAGCGGGAAGCCAGCCTGAATGTGGTGTTCTGTGGTTCTGGGAGCAGACCTGGGCTCTTGCCTGTGAGAGGCGAGTCCGTCCTCAGCGTGTCTGCTGTAGTCAGTACCGTGTCCTGCTGAGGAGGACATGCATAGCCGTGGCCTGGGCTCTTGCCTAGACTTGGAGCTGAGGCCCGAGGGCCTGGCAAACAGTGTGGGACCTGGTGACCACAAGCTGTTAGTAGAAACTGTTTTCATGTAAGGAGATTTTTTTTTTTTTTTAAATTAGGGTAATCGCGATGCCTATTTTTCTAGTAGGAGGGATAGAGTTAGAATTTTCTGGATCCAGGATATATCCCTGTCCTTCCCTCTTTGGTCCTCATCAGTATATTTTAAAACAAAAGGAGAGGAGTTGCCAAGTTTAAGTTGTTGATAGAAAATTCCCTAAGAACACTGGCTCTCCAGAGCAGATTCCTCTGGAAGGAGGGTACAAGTTACTGTGTGTCCTCAGTTGGCTGAGATTTCAGAAATGCAGCCAGCCCCACCCAGTCACAGCCTCCTGCCTCTTTCCAGAGGAGGTGTGAGACAGGGCGCAGGCACACTGGGAGCACCTGTGTGTGTGTGCTCAGGCCCTGACCAGGCTGTGTCCACTTCTGTACACAGCTGAGAGGAGGAAAAGGTTTCTTTTGGCTCATGGTTTCGGAGGTTTTGGGCCATGGCTCACTGGCTCTACTCCTGGTTTGTGGTGGGCATTATGTGCACAGGGGCAGGGTCCTCATGTGCTCTGAAGGGCATGACCCAGGGGCCCCCTCCAGCTAAGTAAGCCCTCCATCCTGAAGTGCTGCGCTCAGCAGGCGACCAAGTCCCCGGGCATGGCACTGGAGCGCATCTGAGGTCCAGGACATTGCAGGGTGAAAGCTCCCAGTCTCAAGCTTTCCCTGTATATACATCTGCAGAGAATCTGGACGGCTCTCAAGAACAGAAGGAAAAGAGTCCTCCAGACCAGTCGGCCATTCCCCACACGCCCCCCAGCAGCCCTGTCAAGCTGGAGGAAGGTGAGCCCTTGGCATGTGGAGCCCCGAGGAGGGAGGTGCATGGCCGTGCACACTGGCAGCTGTTCTGTCACCTGAGCACAAGAGTGCATTTGCATCCAAGCCAGCGCCTCACATGGCCCCAGAGTCCCCGGCCTCCTCGCTCTGCTGCTCCATCCGAGTAACTGAAGTCCCGGTAGAGTGTGGCTGTCGTGGCCCCATAGGAGGGCAGGCCTTCCCAGTGGACCCTGCCACCGTGTCAGGTGTCTGTTTTGCCCATTGCTTGCACAGTTCTCGTCTGTCCCATGTGGAGTTGACACGTTGGTGCCGTCCGCTGTGTGGGCTGCAGGACGAGAGCCCTGGGCGCACCGGCTCGCTCTGTGGTGTGCGGTCGGTGCGTCTGTCCCTTGGTCTCGTCCCCGTGTCTCCTGTTCTATGTCCCGTGGCTCTGCCCCGTAGTGTAACCCAGTGGCTGTGACTGAATGCATAGATTCTCTACTTGTGCTTCTCTCTCTCGTGGCCGCCTTGCAGCAGGAGATGGATGTGCTAAAGAGTACCTGTTACCCTAGTAAGTACCGCGCCCGGCACGCGCTCGCACCCACACCCTGTGCTTTGCTCACCTTCTGCTGCTTTCTAGTTTCTGAAGATTTGTTTTCTGTTTATTCAAAATAAAAACAGAGGCTCTCTTTTTCATACCTGCTGCTCCTGGGCTCCCCAGTAGCAGTCAAGCACCTGGGTCCCACAGTGTGCGGTGCAGTGCTGCCCAGAGCATGCTGGGCCTCAGGAAGTCCGTAGTTTAGTGGTTAAGCATCACTTCGAAATATCTGGGGTGAAGGTTTGTCAAATTGGGCTGGATGTAGATGCAGCTGGTTCCAGCAGACTGGGTTCTGCCACGTAATGCCCTAGATTGTTTGGACTTGTGTCTAAATGGAGACAGGTCATTTGAAGATGTGATGCAGGAGGTGGGAGCACACACCTGTAATCTCTGTTCTCTAGAAGGCAGAGGCAGGAAGGTCACAAGTTCAAGCCCAGCCTCAGCAACTCAGTGACTTAGCAAGGCCCTGTCTAAAAAAGGGGGTGGGGTGCGTGCCTGGGAAGGTAGCTGAGTGTAAAGCTCTGGGTTAAATCTCAGTAACACCAAAAAAAGAAAAGGTAATGTGGTCAGATGACCAGTTCTCCTGAATGTGCACCAGCAGCCTCCATCAGCCATGGCCAGGGTGGAGCGGTGCCTATAGCATGGCCACTGCTTTTGCTCCTGCAAGTGTGGCCCTGAGTTGCCTGGCAGAGGGCAACTCGTGGGGTGCCATTTAGGGGCTGTCCAGCCTCCGTGGGCTGCAGCAGTGCGGGCCTGGGGCTAGCGCTCATGTGGCCAAGCTGCGTGCAATCTGCTTCGCTCAGCTGCTCCTGTCCTGATGTTTGGCTGAATTTAAGTACTGAACTGTCTGGTGTTGCCTAACCCACCAGTTGTGTGTAACTCTAGATTCTTAAACATAAGTCTGCAACACTAGAGTTCCTGGGGTCAGTGGAGGAGGCCCAGGCTGCACCTTGCCCTCAGCCCATGGCCCTTCCTTCTTTGCCCCGACCCTTGTGAATCAGTCCACTGGCTGCTGCTTCAGGACCAGGTTTAGGCTGAATGTCAGGACTAACCCGGCAGCACTGTCTTTCTGAGTGGGTGTCCCCAGCTTGCCCCTGAAGTCGGCCCCGCAGTCTGGTGTGGTCGGGGTGCTCCCCAGAAGGCATGAGAGCCCCGGCCCCCAGGTGGCGTGTGCGTTTTGTAATGGCGCTCTGCAGTCCTCATGCAGAGAAGACCACGCAGTGGCTGGTCTTGGAGAAAGCCGTGGAACAGCACAAAAGTGGCAGTTCCTGGACTGGACCCCCGAGTCAGGCTGCCGGCTCTCACTGTCTCCCATCCTCGCCACCAGACCTCCCTCAGGAGCCGCCCTCTGCCGATGACAGTGATGCTGCCACCTTCAAGCCGACGCTCCCTGACCTGTCCCCTGACGAGCCTTCAGAAGCACTGGCCTTCCCACCGGTGGAGGAGGAGACCCAGCACCCTTCCCAGGCCCCTGCAGCAGTGGAGCCAGAGCCAGCCTCAGCCCCAGCTGTGGAAGAGACAGCCTCCCCGGCTGCTGAGGAGGGGTCTGCTGCAGACCCCGGCAGTGATGGATCCCCAGGCAAGTCTCCCTCCAAGAAGAAGAAGAAGTTCCGCACCCCCTCCTTCCTGAAGAAGAGCAAGAAACGGAGTGACTCCTGAAGGCCCCACGCACTGTCCTGTCCGAAGCGACTCTGGCTCCACCAGCGTCCCGATTGTGTCGTGTTCTGCCCCCTTGTGTAATGGAATGCAAAAAGCCAAGCCCTCACATAGCTAGAGCCCCACCCTGCAAGACCAGCCCCTGCAGGATGGTGGTGGTGTCCCTCAGCCCGGGAAGCAGCAGCCTGGCCATGCGAGCCGTGCTCTCCCATGGGAGGGGTGCCTGTCCTGGCTGCGCCCTCCTGAGCCTGACCTCTCACTCCTCCTCGTGACTAGTGTGTGCTGTCCCTGCTCAGCTTCCCGGCCCATGTGTCTGTCTCAGGTGACTGAATCCAGCTCGTGGCTTCTGCTGGTGTCACCGCCCAGTGATCCCTTTCCTTGCACATGGCCCCGTCCTGTGGATGCTCTCGCATGCCCACCCCAGCCCGGGCCCACGGCTCCCTGGGGCCGGGCCTGAGGCTGGACATGTGCCCAGCACAATGCTATGCATGGTCTCACTGGTGACCCTGACTGAAACCAGATTCAGGAGCTCCCAGGGCTCACTGGGTTCCTGTCACAGGGGAGGGGTCCTGGGAGGGACATGTCCTTTCTAGAATTTTCTTTCAGCAGGTTTGCCACTTTGCCTCATCTAGACTACGAATATGAACAGGCTGCATTTTGTTAGTTCCCCCTTAGAACCCATGGCAGACTGGTGGAGCACTGTTGCCTGGTTTGGAGTGGCCTGGATGGGGTGGGGACCATGCCCACCTCACCTCAGCCTGAGGGCGCCCTGATTTTGATGAATATAGCTGGAGGTGGAAATCGCCTAACACAGTGCCACCTGTGGATCCCATGCCTTCTCCCTGCGTTGCTAGTGCCGGGGATTCTCACCCATGAGGCTCACTAGAAATGGGCGGGTGGTGACCTGTTAGAGGGCCTGGCCAGTGGGGAAGCCTGTGGGGCCCCAGACACACCCCACAGGGGACAGCGTCTAGGAGAGTTGGTGCCAGCAGTAGCTTGGGTCCTGGCGCAATGGGCAGAGCTGCTGTGAACCCACTGACCCAGCCACGGGGCAGAACTGAGCTGGCAGGCTGTATTCCGCCTGTGTAGGAAGCTCTCGCTCTCTCCTGGACTCTTCCTCACCCTGCCTCCCCTTCCTGTCCCACATATGCAATGACTTTAATTTTCACTTTTGTAGTCTAATTCTTTGTATTACAACATGAAATATAGTTGCATATACAGACCAGACTTGGAGGACAGGTCCTGGACATCCTTTCTTCACTGTAACATGTTTTACTCACAAATAAAACTCTTTAAGCAGTTTCTTTGTCTAAATCTCGTTAGCAGTTTTCATACACCTTTGTTCCCTCAAAGTAGGGTTTCCAAAGCATGTCTCATGTTGAGAATGACTCAGATGTACTTATCTTTTGGCCAAATGTCACCAGTCGCTATAGAATTAGGGAGGCCCTCTCCTGCACCCTGCCCTTCCTCCCTAGAATTTGAGTGGTGTCCGGGGTGCTGCTGGTCAGGGACAGGGACAGAGGCCCAGAATGAACCTGTGCTCGGCCTGCCTGACTCAGCAGGAGGGGCCTGTGAGGCCACAGCCTGGGACTGCAGCTGGCACTGCCCTCTGCTGCAGGGGAGCCCAGTGTTGTGCTGGCCACAGCCCCAAGAGCTGCCTGGCCCCTGCACCTCTGCAGGTGAGTGGCAGGGCAGAGCTGTCCTGCAGAGAATGCTGGTGCAAAAGAGCTGCTTTATTTGTCTTTAAGAAGCCTGGCCCAGGGCCTGAGTCATCCAGGCAGAACGTACACACAACTCTGAAGGCCATGGAGTCACTGAGCCTGCTCAGGACAGCTGGGCCAGGTACCCGGGAGCGCTGCCCAGACTTCCTGCTGAGGGTGGAGCAGAGGGTTGAGGCTCCCTCCCCAGACCCTGGTCGGGCAGGGCAGGAAGGAGTCTCAGGCAGTGGGGAGTGGTCCTGGTGGTCCTTGTGGGGCGTGAACTTCAGCTACTCCGCCTTGAGCTCAGGCTCTGGGTGCTTTAGCTTCTGCAGGAGGATGACGGGGAGCAGGAAGAGCCCGGCGCACACAGTGAAGCAGGCTTGGGCTCCAGCCAGCCAGTACACTGTGGAGAGAGGCTCCTGTGTGACCGAGAGCATGCTGAGGGAGGCCGGGCACTGCACATCCTAAGTGCTGCTCTGGGCCCTTACCTGAGGCAGCCAGCATGGGTCCCACTGCCCTGGCCAGGGCACCCAGACTCCGCAGGGTGCCCATGACTCTGCCCTTCTGCCCTGGTAAGCCTGTGGGAAGAGCCTGTCAGGTGCCTGCACGTGCCTCCCACCTCCCCGTTCAGCAGCCTCTGAAGGGAGGGCTCACCATAGCCAGCGACCACAGAAGACAGGCAGGGCACCACAACCGCAGCCGCTGTGGGCAACATGGGAGAGGCTGTCAGCCTAGGGCTGCTGCTGTCCCCTCCCGCCTGTGAGACACTCACCGAAAGAGTAGAGCAACAGCCCCAGCCCCAGCGTGGGCAGGGAGCAGCCCCAGCCAATGAGGAGGAAGGCCGGCAGCAGCAGCAGCATGGCCTGTGGGTGCAGTGGGCACAGCAGCCTCAGCACCCAGCTGATGCCCGGCCCTGCCCAGGGCACCGCCTGCTGCCCACCGGAGAGCCATACCTGCTTCACGGCCGTGACTTCTCTGCCAGGGCGGACCCGCCGGGCGTAGGTTCCCTGGACGGTGGCCATGGTGAGGCCAATGAAGAAGAACATCTTGCCCTGCTGTAGGCTGTGAGGCAGAGGGTGAGTGCAGGCCACGGGCCATGGACCACGGCAAAGGCTGCCAGGGCTAGGCTGGGCTTGCTCTGGGGCCAGGCAACCTTGCGGACCCACCTGGTGAACTGGAAGCGCTGGTGCACCAGGAAGCTCAGGGTGTACTCCAGCCCGGAGAACAGCAAGAGGTAGAGGAAGTAAACCAGGCCCAGGCGGCGCAGGCTGCGGAGCCCTGTGGGGCAGCAGGCACTGGTGGGCTTGGGCCATCGCAGGTGAGCAGGGAGGGCTTCAGAGAGGGGCGGGCCCCTTACTGTCTCCACTAGGGGGATCCTGGCCATGGGCAACTGCTGCGAACTGGAGGAGTGCCAGAGGGCTGAGCAGGTCAGCAGCTGTGCAGAAGCCCAGGGCGATGGAGGGCGCCTGTGGAGGAGCGGGGGAAGCCTGACAAACCCGGGAGCAGTGGCCCCAACAGCCTCGGCGACAGGAGGGTACCCTGTCAGGCCCCCACACCTATGGGTCCAGCATCAGCCCTACCCGCTTCTCTGGGGGCAGTGTCTCCGGCAGAAAGAAGAAGACGAAGAGCAGGTCGGATGCTGCAAAGAGCAGGCTGAGCCAGGGTGCCATCTCCACAGGCAGGGAGGCCCCGAGCATGGGGCCCAGCGTGAAGGCCAGGGAGAAGGCCACACCGATGACCGCCTGGGGAGAAGACCACCTGAGTCTTGGGGGAGCCAGGCCTGGGCACCCCCTTGGCTGGCACACTCACCATACCCTGGCTGCGGGCCGACGGTGAGCCCAGATCGGCGACGATGGCCGTGGAGAGGCTGACGTTCCCCTTGCTGATGCCCCCGATCACCCTGGAGGCCAGGAAGGCAGCGAAGCTCCGAGAGGCGGCCCACACGGCATAGGAGGTGGCCAGGCCCAGCTGCGGGGACAGGCCAGGGCCATTCCTGTTCCGCCCTCCGGCTGGCTCAGCCCGGGGGCCCCTCCGCCCGCCAGCCCTGCCCTGCCCTGTGGGCACAAGGTGCCCCACGCACCAGGGACAGCAGCATCACGGGCCGCCTGCCCACGCAGTCCGAGGCGGCCCCAGTGAGCGTCGCAGAGAGGAACTGCAGGAGGGAGAAGCCCGAGCCAATGAGACCTGATCAGGGGACAGAGGGCACCATCAGGGCGTGGTCCGCACGCAGGGGTCTGGCCCCAAGCAAGGTCAAGGACGAGGGTGGAGGAGGACAAGAAGGCGGCGACTCACGGGGGCCGAGAAGCCAGGGGACCCAGGCCGCGGCAGCCCCCCGGCAGGGACAGCACGGCCGCC